CTTCTTTTTGTCTTGATCTTTTTTCTGATTGATCCCTTTCCAAAGAAGTGTTCAGGTATTTGCTTTCAATCTCACCAATTCTGTCTTCCATTGATTCAATTCTGCTCCTTTGCCCATTCAATGTCTTATCTATTTCTGAAAATTTAGTATTAGTCTTCTGGAGTTCTGTCTTTAGATTTTGTATCATCTCTCATTTTTCATTTATTTATTTATTTATTTCTTGTATTATCTTTTGAAATTATTCTAGGGTTTTCTCTGTGTTTTCCTTGCTCAGTCTCTCAATTCATTGACAATATCTAAACATAATTATTTTAAATTCCTTATCAGGGAATTCCAATGCTGCATCTTCCTCAGGGATGTGTTTTGGGTCTGTATCCTGGTCCCTTGTTTCTCCTCTTTATCTTGCTCCTTTGTGTGGACTGTGATGCTCTGTTGTCTCCGAGGCATTGTGACATTTTTGTGTTTATATTTAATTTGTGATTGTATGTTGGAGTGACTTGCCCATGATTTTAGTTTTGTTTTGTTTGTATGTTATCTATGCAAGCAGGGTACACTATTCACTAGTTGACAGCGCTTATACACTCACCACCTGTTACCTTTCCTGTTGTCAGTCTCTTGTATGTCCCTGCCAACTTTGGCAAACAGAGCCTATTCTTAGGTTCCTGGAATCCAAATGAGAATGCTATCACTTTAAAATCCAAAATGGTTGCCACTTGTAAAGGTTCAAAATGGCTACACCCTCAGTCACTTTAAATATCCAAAATGGCCGCCCCTTGTAAACATTAAAAATGGCTGCACCTTCAGTCACTTAAATATCCAAAATGGCCACCATGTGTAAACAATTAAAATGTGTGCACCCTCTGGATAGCAGAAAGTCAACAGCTCAGGTTTTCTCCCTCCTTGTTTCCCTTTCTAGTCATAGGCCACCAGTGTAGTCATCCCTGCAGCCCGTGGTGACCAGGGCTGATCTTCAGATCAATTCTCAGGTCCCAAAACCACTTGGAAATATTCAGGCTGTTGGTACTATTGGAGTAGCTGATAGTCCGCAGCTCTGCCCATCTCTGTACTCACTGTTTTTGTTCAGGTTTTTCCACTAGTTGGTGCCTAATCTACTTCTGTATAGTTCCTTTCAAAGCTCAGGGTTCCAGGATTATCTTCTGTATCTCTGTCAATTGGTTTTTCTTTTCTTTGTTGAAGAGGGTCTGTGTCGCTTGTCTGCCTATTCCTCCATCTTACTGGAAGTTGCTTGTACTTCTTCCAAGACAGATTTATTCATTTTTTCTGGCAGGCCATAGTATATTCAGTACTCTTTACCCATAGCATAATTCAAAGGCATTAATTCTTCTGTCTTCCTTATTCATTGCCCAGCTTTCACATGCATAGGAGGTGATTGAAAATACCGTTCCTTGGGTCAAGTGCACCTTAGTCCTCATAGTGACATCTTTGCTTTTGATCATGTTAAAGAGGTCATTATTTCTTGACTTGCTACTTCCATGGGCATGGATTGTGGATCCAATTAAAATGAAATCCTTGATAACTTCAACATTTTCTCTGTTTATCATGATGTTGCTTATTGGTCTAGTTCTGAGAAATTTGTTTTCTTTATCTTGAGTTATAATCCACACTAAAGGCTGAAGTCTTTGATCTCTGTCAGTGGGTACTTCAAGTCCTTTTTGCCTTAAGCAAGCAAGGTTATGTCAGCTGCAAATTGCAGGTTATTAATGAGTCTTCCTCCAATCCTGATGCTGCATTCTTCTTCATATAGTCTAGTTTCTTGGATCATTTGCTTACCACATAGATTAAATAAATATGGTGAAAAGATACAATCCTGACAAATACCTTTCCTGATTTAAACTACACAGTATCCCATTTTTGGACTATATAGCCCCTTTTGGACTATATCCAGGTTCTTTATGAGAACAATTAAGTGTTCTGGAATTCCTGAACAATGTTATCTATAATTTGTTGTAATTTACACAGTCAGATGCCTTTGCATACTCCATAAAAAACAAGTAAACATCTTTCTGGTATTCTTTGCTTTCAGCTATGATCCATGTGATACCAGCAATGATACCAGTCATTCCATACCCTTTTCTGAATCCAGCTTGAATTATCTGGTAGTTCCTTGTCTATGTAGTGCTACAGACATTTTTGAATCATGTTCAGCAATGTTTTACTTTCATGTGATAGTAATGATACTGTTTGATAATTTCCTCATTCTTTTGGATCACTTTGCTTTGGAATGGGCACGTAAATGGATCTCTTCCATTCAGTTCACAAGAATTCCAAATTTCTTGGCATAGACAAGTGAGTACTTCTGGCATTGCATATGTTTATTGAAACATCTCAACGGGTATTCCATCAATTCCTGGAGCTTTGTTTTTCTCCAGTGCCTTCAGTGAAACTTAGCCTTTTTCCTTCAGTACTATTGCTTCTTGATCACATGCTACCTCCTGAAATTGTTGAAAGTCAACCAGTTCTTTTTGGTACAGTGACTCTGTTTATTCTTTCCATCTTTTTTTTTTTTTAAATTGTGCTTTAGGTGCCAATTTACAGAGCAGAGTTTGTTTTACATTCAGCATTTTATGTACATTGGTTTCACTCCCCGATTACCATCCCCAACCCTAACCCACTCTCTTTCCTTCCCTTCCCAGTAACCCCCACCCCCCACCCCATGCCCCTCATAATTGTGCACTCCTGTGTGTCCTGCATTTCCTCCATACGAATTTTGCCCTTCTGTTGCCCCGTAGTCGATTGTTCCAAGGGATGCATCTCCATAGAGTATGTGGGTGAGTCACCCTGCGTTGAGTGGTCTGTGTGTACATCTTATTTATCATTGGGCTGAGAGCCAGCCCCTGGGAGTGAGTTTTATTCCAGGCCCAAAATGTATCCCAAGGCCATAGTATTTGGGGTCCCACCAGACTCCATTTGACCAGTAATTCTGGTCATTATTGTGTTTTTGGATTTTGTGCCACGATTTTCCTCCCACTCTTTCCAGGATCTCCAGTTTTGATCCCTTCCCGAGTGGCTGGCATTGGTAGCCAGGTACCATCTAGTTCTTCTGGTCTCAAGGTCCATCATGTCCTAGGTCTGATTGCTTCCAAATACCCTTGATTTTTTTCACTCTTCTTTGCTTCCGACAATAGGAGATCATTAGCTGCATCTTAGATGGCCACTAGAAAGCTTTAAGACCCCAGTTGCTACTCACCAATGTAGGTCGTGGAAT